CTAATAAAACCAATTGTCACCCAAAATGAGTGGTTAAGCGCTGATTATCACCACACCTGATGCCATGCCAACTATCACCGCATTAGATGGTGGTGTGGTCTACGAGACAATCATCGCGCAAAACACTGCATACATGTCTGCACAGCACATACACAGCCCTACCCTCCCATCGCATACACATAAACCGCATATTAATAGCCATAAGCAATACATACCGTCGCCCTCTTGGATGGTCTGCACCTCAACGCCCATTATGTGTGCACTTCTTCGCCCGTGGATTAGATTGGGTGACAATAATGGAGACAAATGTGAAGATATCAGCGAAAACCGGGTGTCGTTTGGTTGGGTAGACGTCCGGTGCTGTCGTATAGCTGTGTGTGAATGATATGAATGCGTGAATCACTCGTACGGACAGTGAGTGTCTCTGCAGACAAACAATGCACTCAATGCGAGGCAAAGCAACCAATGCCTCCGAACAAGCAATGGGAATGAGCCAAACATTGCACTGTGAAGTGCCGTTAGAGGGCGATAGCAGTCCCATAACTATTCAATTATCATAAGAGACGGTCTACTGTCGCTATTGTCAACGATTTAATACGAGTTAATCGTGTGTATTATATCGATGAGCATTGTACGCGAAATTATATGTCTTGATAAGTTGTTAGTTTGATACTTAATTTAATTAGTTTTGTTGATTACAGTGAGAGCTTAGCGTAATATTTGCTCGTATACAGGGAGTCGGCCGTAATCTCAATACACTTACACACAGTGTTTGATAACAAATGCTATGAATTTGATTGAACTACACTTTCCAATACCCATAAACCCTTTCACAGTCATCAGTAGCTTTATATTAGTCTTGTGGTTAACCTTGCTAATAGTTTCCATTTACATATATTTTCCACTATTGCCTGCCATTGTAGTGGAGGGAGACTTCTCTCCAATCGGTGACTTCTTCGGCTATTTGTTGGAAATTGGTTTCTGAGGACTCGTTTGTCTCATTTGTTGTATGATAGCACCGGAAGGGACGACACCTTCTTGTTGGAGTTAGCCATCGATGGCCGCCTCACACACCGCCCGCAGACTCATTGACATCGGCGCTAACCTCACCGGTAATCACGTGTCTCACAGACAACTCCTATGCTGTTAATTATCTCTTAATTGTATTGTTTGTATAACTGTTTAATTGTGTGACAATTGTCACAAAGTTTGTCAAAAACTTTTACACAAAGCGCTGATTGTGTCTCATCTGATCCCCAAACAGATCCCATGTTTAAAGGCATATACAACGGGTCACAGAAACACGTGTCCGACTTGACTGATGTGATCAAACGGTCGGTCGCTTACGGACTCCAAAAAGTAATCCAATGAATGAATGCCCGGTAATACCTGTTCCCGAGGAATGTGTGTAACACTCGATGGCGTGTCTTATATAGATAGTGATCACTGGCGGCAGTCTAGAGGACAGTGAGTCGGCGCTGGCTTTGGCCAAAACGGATGACATGCTGTACTCGACAGTGGGCTGTCATCCCACGCGATGTCTTGAGTTCGAGGCCTACGAAGACGCCGACAAATACATCGCACAACTGATCCAATTGGTCGATAACAACAGGGATAAAGTGGTGGCAGTGGGCGAGTGTGGGCTCGACTACGATAGGCTTCACTTCTGTCCCAAAGAGCAACAGTTAAAGTGAGTGTCAATTGGTTTGCTGAAGACGTTTGTGGTGACTATTGTCTCATTGAACGGACAGGTATTTCATAAAACAGCTGTCGGTGTCCGAGGCCACAGGTTTGCCGTTATTCCTCCACTGCCGTAATGCGGCCACGGATTTGGCGCAAGTCTTGAGGAACAATCGGCACAAATTCAGCGGCGGTGTCGTCAGTATCATAACATTTACAACACTTTTTTTATGACAAATATTCATGTATTTTATGATAACTTTATGTGTGTTTAATTACATCTTATAAATTATGTCATATTTTTATGATTATTATCTAATATCATAATGAAAGGCAATGTTTGTCATAACAAATGAGATATTGTTTGCTATAAAACTCGACTAAAACTAATGGATTATCTCTACAAACGATAGGTTCACTCATTCGATGGTACGCTAGAAGAAGCTAAAGAGTTCATGCGATTGGGTCTATACATCGGTATCAATGGCTGTTCGCTGAAGACTGAGTCTAATCTAGAGGTGGCGGCGGAGCTGCCCATCGATCGGCTTATGATCGAAACCGGTATTGCATTACATATCATATAATGTCTTATATAATGAGCTATTATTTACACGAAAAAAACAGTGAATTTTAATGACAATTACTGTTATGTATATAAAAACAACTTAAATAATGAGATATATTTAAAACAAACAAAAAAACAACTGAAAAACCAAATGATAAAACAATGTATTATTTAATGTATAAACAGACAGTCCGTGGTGTGAAGTGAAGGCCAGTCACGCGGGCGCCCGACATATCACTACACTATTCCAAAGCCGTAAGAAAGAGAAGTTCGAGACGGGCTGTCAGGTCAAGGGTCGTAACGAGCCGTCCAATTGCGTGCAAATATTGGAGATATTGGCGGCCATTAAGAAGCGGTCGATCGACGAGTTGGCGGACGTGTTGTACGAAAACACTGTCAAACTGTTCTTCAGCGCCGGCACTAATAATGGTCGATAGGGTTGTGTGTGACCCGTGTTTTTGTTACGAAGTATTTGTTTTGGATGTCTTTCCCGCCAATTGATAGTTAATTAAGTGTTTTTATAAATTATATCCAATTATATATAAAATCAAAATATTTATTATTATTATTATTAAAACTGGTTTTATGTGTCAACTAATTGGTCAGTGCCTTAAACTGCGAGGCTGTCCACTGGTAGGCGTCCCACATGTATGTCTGCAGCACATCAATCGCTTGTATTAATACTTTTTGTATGTTTTCGGGCGCAAGACTTCCACTGAAAAAAACAGATTTATATATGAAATGAAAGCTTTATTTTAAATATATTTATAATTATTTTTGTATTCAATTAAATGATAAAATAAATCATACGTTAAGACGTTTGTCTGCAACCAATTCGAGACAATGGTTGCGTTTTTGAGTATAAAAGCCCAGCAAATGTTGAAATACGTGTGCATTTGACTCGTGATTTGCCACAAGAATGACTGCAACTTTGGCACCAAATCGTCGGTAATCTGTTAGAGATAACAGGGAAATGGATGTCAAAAAACTCAGTTTTTATTTGCAAACACTTGAGAGGCCTAAGTGTCTCATAAAACTAAAAACAAACCGTCTCGAGAATGGGTGGAATGGTTTTGTGGATCCAATTCCTCAACACTTCCGTCGAATTCCATAAAATAATCATAACTTCCGTGAATTTGGCCCAAAATGTGTTCAGATAGGGAGAGATGAAGACAATGGTTGCGTTTTTGAGTATAAAAGCCCAGCAAATGTTGAAATACGTGTGCATTTGACTCGTGATTTGCCACAAGAATGACTGCAACTTTGGCACCAAATCGTCGGTAATCTGTTAGAGATACCGATTACAGATTAGAGATAACAGGGAAATGGATGTCATAAAACTGAGTTTTTATTTGCAAACACTTGAGAGGCATAAGTGTCTTATAAAATAAAAGGCAAACACAAACCGTCTCGAGAATGGGTGGAATGGTTTTGTGGATCCAATTCCTCAACACTTCCGTCGAATTCCATAAAATAATCATAACTTCCGTGAATTTGGCCCAAAATGTGTTCAGATAGGGAGAGATGACGGCGCTCACGGACTTCCAGTACACGNACAAACCGTCTCGAGAATGGGTGGAATGGTTTTGTGGATCCAATTCCTCAACACTTCCGTCGAATTCCATAAAATAATCATAACTTCCGTGAATTTGGCCCAAAATGTGTTCAGATAGGGAGAGATGACGGCGCTCACGGACTTCCAGTACACGGGTACGTTCACCGACAGCCAACTGTCAACACATGGAAAACATGCAATTCATTATACAGTCAAGCGATGAAAATTGAATTAAAATTTGCAAATAATTGCCTCAAATAATGACAACTAATTAATGCAAACCTGTATGTAATGAGCGAATAGGTCTCGATCTTATTGTATGCCTGCTCTACGACAGGCAGTGTTCCCGTTTGCTTCAGTAGATTACCAGTGTATGACTCTGTTTACCAGGGTAATCACACACAATTAGTTAATAATATATTAAATTATATGTTAACTATGAGTTTACTCTGAAATGATCCATGAGATTTAGTGTCGTAGGCCAGGAGCACCGCCAATAGGATGGTCAGCACCAGTAGTGTGGACTTAATGGGGAACTTCCAGCTCGACATTGTGGTCAACAGTGTCTTCATGTGGTAAATGGTGATCAGAAACAGTGAATCAAACAATTAATGAAACGATTGGGAGATATTAAGGGGAATGTAATGACGGGAATGACTGAATGACTAGAGAAATGTTTGTCGGACTCGCAAATTGAATGTATGAGCGATCGGAATGCCAATGAAAGTGGAGATTTTCACTGGAAATACAGCACTAGTATGCCATCCATAGCACTGGTAGTGTGCATTTTGCCCCCTATTATGCTATCACTCGTTAGAACATTATATGAGTGCTATGTTTGAGACGACAAAGACTGTACTGGAGTGTGGAAAGGGATCAGGTTTTGGACTAACCTATCAGTACAGTAATGCTCAGCCAATTCTCAACGTTAAACAGTACTCTCTCTCATCAAAAACGACTAGAATTTTGGTGTATATAGCAGTGGAATGGACTCTACAATGGGTTTGAGTTCAAGAATTTTGAATCATAAGAATTTGTGACAATTTTCAAGTGTTTAGTCCTCAAGTGTTTGACAATGTTATCAATTAATCGTAAATATAAAGCAGAGTAACTGTACTTAAGTCTATACACATTGTTAATTGTCTTACACACGTAACATAAAAATTAGTTTGAAATAATAAGCTATTAATATAATGTAACGTAACTCTAAACTATTGGACAACGAATCGATAAATATATGATTACATATCATATGAATTACATATTTAATAGCATACATATGCATGTAATCAATATATTAAAATAATAAGCTATTAATATAATGTAACGTAACTCTAAACTATTGGACAACGAATCGATAAATATATGATTACATATCATATGAATTACATATTTAATAGCATACATATGCATGTAATCAATATATTCACTGTTGTAACACTTTTTGTTGCAAATTAATCACAAATATAGAGAATAATTTGGCAAACATTACCTCTACTATAGCAGTAAACTATATAATAGGAAAAATCAAAACTTACAGAATTGCTATTAGGCTCTCATATCACAAAAAAGTTTTCATAGTTTGNAAATTAATCACAAATATAGAGAATAATTTGGCAAACATTACCTCTACTATAGCAGTAAACTATATAATAGGAAAAATCAAAACTTACAGAATTGCTATTAGGCTCTCATATCACAAAAAAGTTTTCATAGTTTGAATATTTAAAAAATATCTCAGAAATATTGCTACCGTATTATAAGATTAATGAATAAAATACTGCACTGTATTAATAGTAATAAAAATAAATCAAACACGTTTACAATAAATTATATGTCGCGATAAACATAATTATTATCAAATCACTAAAGTTATGCATAATTTTAAAAATCAATGAAATTAAAAACACACGTAACTATGATATGGAGTCATAATAAGTTTTGCAGTCAAAACAAATTACCGTATTATGAGTACATGTCTCAAACGTTAATTAATTGCATAAACAGCTTATATTTCACAAACAATTTGAACTCTTGAAATATTGATTCGATAAGTAACTTATTACAATGCAAATATATTGAATTATATGGCCATTAATCGGCGAGTTAACGGTTGAGTAAGTAAGTTACTATTCTTGAGTTACTATTCCTTCACCACTAAATGGGCACCGTATGCTTACCTCGCATTGAGCTTCACAGGCCTCGTGTCCCTCTTTAAGAGGCTTACCCTCAGCCCTCGAGTCGTCATTTGTATTCCTAAAGCTAAGAACCGTTTCGGTCAACAGTTTCTTGGAAAGAGTGGACGGCAGTGAGCGGTAGTTATCGCTCAGGTATACCAGCAGTTGAGCCGACTATTGGTATAGAAATAAAAACTTTTAATAAACACTTAAAATCATAATTAATATCAATTAATCATTACTTGTGTTAAGTTTTGCGAATACAAAGTGCGCCAAACGCTGAAACTTTGGACATCACTCGCAAGACATTTGGTTAACTCTTCCAGAAGTTCTTGTCTTTGATGAAAGAGTTTATCGGAATTTAACCGCTCGAACAGATATGGGAAGTAAAGGCTTGCATTGGTTTTCGGGTTATTGTAAATCGATATCAACTATAATTCAATACAAAAACTCATTAAAATCAATGCGTTATAAAACATCAAATCAAATGCAGACTTACTTTAAGTTTAGGATAAAGAACTTCCAATTGTTTTTGCAAATTCTGTTGCAAACCGTTTGCTGGCGAGTGAATGGTGTCGAAGATCACGAAGAATTTCTTGACATCGAGTACATCACCAGTTATTTTGGTGTTCGAGTGAAGTCTAAACACACATAAGATTATCACAAAAAATACTTTCCTATAAAAGCAACTAAAACTTACTCTAAGAGTGTTCGCAGCGAATCGATAATAAACTTGGAGTAAGCCTTTTGACCGATGATTGGTAGCATCAGCTCTAACCAGATATTGATACCACTCTTGAGGTCGCGTTTACTGGACTGCGAGGCCACCCATAAGATGGTGAGACACACGGGCTGTCTATTGCTGTAAGAGATCCTGTGCTGAACAAACTTTTGGATGTTATTTACGGTGAACGCCGGGTATTGAGTGCTTATGCACTGAAGCATAATACGGAAACCCATTGTCGGGCCAACCATTTTGACCAGATTCTGGAGCAGCTGTTCCTGAATCAGCTGTAGTATGGGTTGAGGGCACTGACGGATATTGCGGTTTATAAAGTCCAACACATTGCCAGGTAGTGCACAGGACGGGTAGTCTACAGTGCAAGGCATTCAATCAATTAATCAGTTATAAGATTTAATTTTTAATGTTTTAATTACCGATCGATTTGTCCGCAAATGTCACGTCTTCTGGCTCTACATTCGGGAACTTTCCGTTCACTTTGTGTTACAAATAAATCAATAAATATCTCAATCATTGCAAAGACATTCACAGAATATTCTGAATTCTTAATACATTGACAACAAAATCAATACGTTTTTCAAATTCTCATATTTAAAATGCAAAAATTGATCTCAAATTCAGGGCTAATATTGTGTGAGCAATGATTTGTCACAAGTTATAAATTGTATTAGTGACTTATAGCGTACTGTACTTACTTAATTTTACTTGAGTAAAAATTAAACGTACTTTTAGTTACCCTAAAACCAACTCACCTTTTGGGTATTTTTTAATTATGAATAATTTTTTTTGCTAAAAATATTTCCGCACAAAAACTATACCACAAAACACAACCCAAATAATTGCGAGAAATAACTATTTTATGTGTCGACTGTTTAAATAAATTACAGCCAATTATACGCAAAATACTATTGATTTTTGTCGCACAGAATAGCAATGAATTCTGTGCTAAAAAACAAATAAAACAAAACTTATTATCGCTTTCAAGTCATATGACATTCAGTGTTAAAAATAGATTTCTGTTTCCACAAAGAAACTGATGGCAAATATCTGCGGGGAAAAGCAATTGATCCCAAGAGTCACTTACGAAAGTAGGCGATGTCTTTGAGCCAAATGAGTGGCATATCCGGGAACTTGACTTTAGTCTCATCGGACACCTTCTCAAACTCCGATACTTTGAGCTGCCATTCAATGCCATAATTGACACCATATTATAAGAGATAATAAGTTTGCGATTAGAAAACAAATGCGAAAAACAAAAAACTATTTTTAAACCCAAATCGCTTCCAGACGTAAAGTCATTGAAGAGATTAAGCTATAGATAAGAGACAATCGAAAAACTATGGCTACGAATGGATTACCTCTTTAGCCAACTGTTCAAAAGTCAATGGTTTGGACGGTTTGGTGGCTTTCGGCGATTCCGCGGCGCCGTTCGTCTTCTTCTTCGGTTTATTCTTCGCCGCCTTCTTATCGATGGCTTCGTTGTCGTGGTTCTGATCCACGACTGACTTCTGGTTGTTCTGCTTCTGCAGTTTGCGGCTCTCCATGTCATTGAAGAGCTGGAAATTGGTTTCACTCAGACTTATGTGACCTAAGAGTGGACGACACAAATAGTGATAGTAAGTGTGGGATCAGTTGGGGGTGATGTCCGGCAATTGTCGTCGATGCCAATGACGTGTCACCACACAAGCCATGCAAACATATCGACACACATACCAGTGCTCTCTATCTGGTCCGACACGTCCAACGGCTTCCTAGCCTTCGGGCCTTTCGCTGAATTCTTCGCCGACTTCTTCTTACCCACAGTTTCCCAACCATTCGATGCCATTGTCTGCGGAAATAGGTCTCGAAAGTGATCACAAGATGTGTTAAGTTTTGTGAAGTCAAGTGTTTTCAGTCGACAAACACCTCTCGTATGCTATCGTAAGCACCGGTAGTTCACTGCCACCAGAGGGCGCCCTCATAGCATACACTCAAAGCACGTTTGCTGTGGTTTTGTAGTGATTTATAAATTGAGTTTTAATTGAGTTTAAAATAATCGGCGATAAAAATACTATTGATTTGACATTATTTGTGAATGAATTAAGTTTTCGCAAACATTTCAGTACAGTATTCACCAGTAATTATGATTTTGCGTACACTTTGTATGCGAAACACATTTCTCTGTATAGATTCCCATAGACTTGAACGCGTTTCCAATGCTATCGCACGGCGTGTTTGCGTGTATTACATAACGAGTATAGTCTGTACTCGCAGTAAAGCCTATGTTTTGTTTTGAATGCAAACACAACTCAAACGTGACTTCAAAAAGACAGCAAAACTTTTTCGCCACAAACCTCTTGAGCCGCCGATAACCACTGCGATCACCCGTCGGGAACCACTGGCCACACGATGACCACGACCACCAACAAGCGTGTGCTGTACTGCGGCGGACTGTCCGAAGAGGTGGACGAGAAGATAATCACTTCGGCGTTCATACCATTCGGTGATATCATTGATGTGAACCTTCCGATCGACTTCGCGACCCAAAAGCACAGGGGATTCGCTTTCGTGGAGTTCGAGTCGGCCGAAGACGCCATGACTGCCATCGACAACATGAACGACGCGGAGATCTTCGGCAAAACGATTCGCGTAAACGTCGCGAAACCCATTAAACTGAAAGAGGGGTCGGCGCGCGCCGTCTGGTCGGAGGACGCGTGGCTCCAGAAGCACGCGGGAGAGACACTCGCCGCAGATGGCNGTAGTTGCCGCACTCGTAGTAAAACTTCGCCAAATTGTACAAATAGCCGATCATTTCAGGCTTGAACTGTAGACAAACACATCAATACAATCAGTAAGAGAGTGGCAAATGTCTTAGAGATAGTGGGCAATGGCATCTATTGGTAAGTTAGAGGGGTTTGGGATTAATTGGTCAATGAGATAATCTAATCAGTAAGAGAGGAGTCAACGTCTTAGAGAGACTAAGTGCAGGTTGGGATCAATTGAGTGGCGAGTGGGCGGTGAGTGTGTCTTACGTCGTGTTTGGTCTGCAAGAGTTCGTACAGTAGTCTCGAGTCGCGCGACTTCTCGATCTCGGACTGCACCTCATCCTTGAGCAGTATCTCAAGCATGGGTCCCGTCTGGACCTGCAAGTGCTTCATCTGCGACACCACGTCCTGGCGTTTGTCAAACAAGTGCTGCGGCGGCTCGACGTCCTCGTGGAGCCGCTTATACACGTCGAGCGCGAAGTCCACCATATTTGTGTTGGACAACAGCTCCAGCTTTCCCTCCAAGATCTCATTCTCCTCGTATATCTACCGCACAATTGGATCAAATTAAGTGACAATCTCAGACACATTGAAAAGCGTACGACACGTGGCTTTCAATGACAGCCCCATTGGTGGCAACGCATTGACCGCCGCTGTCGTGTGTTTACCACCACTGAGTGGATCAGTTGGTAGTCATGTCTCACCTCTTTGACGGACAAGAACTCGAGGAGCGGGAAGACTAGATGTTTGTCCAGATATTTGCCCAAACGTGTGGTCAGATCCCATTCAGCCATGTTTGCCGTATGTGTCAGTCACGTGGTTTGCACGTACTTTATGAGTCCCTTTTGTACTGCGACCGCCATTTCTAGTTTGTCGTAAAACGGCACAAATCGGCGCCACATTTGCTATGTAGTGATGCGTAGGAATGCTATGTTTAAACATAAGTCGTAGATTTGGTACGTTTTGTGTATAACTATGCGTGAGTGTGAGCGACATCTACGGCCCAATGCATCGCATTTTTGTATTCAAAAGCCTTTTTTGAAACCCGTTTTTGTCGTAACGCTTGAAAACAACAATCAATTAAACTGTTTGTCATTAACTGGTGTTTCATCTGATTTGAAGACTTTATTCCCGTTAATGAATGTGCGAACCACTCGGTGGTAGCGTTGTCTAAGACATCGGACCCATATTGAGCTCACGAGTGGATTTAGTCCATAACGACAGTCGCGTATCCATTGATTGCCATTTGGTGTCGCGATTTGTCGGCAAATCTATGTCTCCAGACGTTTGCCATCGGATCCCGCGTCTTAATCACAGCTATTCCTCACCGGTTATCGGCATTAAGTGATTCATACACCGAAAACTATACACTATTAGGTCCGTGTCTTTGTGTTTAAATCTGGTGATCGATGTAAACAAGTCACTGCGTGTGTGTGGGAACCGCTATATACCAGACAATTATCACCCAAACAGGTCTCGCGAGACCTATCAGAGACCATAACCTTAACATAACTATCTGCGCGTCCGTTGCGGTCAACCCATAGACGTGTTGAGTGACGCAATGCAGTCGCAGAACCAGATCCAGATGTCTTCGGCGCAGGCCATGTACCACGTGATCAACACCCCGATGACTACCGTCATCAACAGCGCCACCAATCAGGACCTGAAGCAACAGTTGACGTCATTGAACGGGGAGAACCAGCAGTTGCGGCGAAAGTTGAATAACAAGAACAACGAGTGCGAGAAACTGAAGATCAAAGTCAAAGAATCCAGGGATGAGAGCGAACAGTATAAGCATCTGATGAACCAATTGTCACAATCGGTGAACTCACTCAATGGTGGCAACAGTTCCCTGAACCTGTCGATGGGCGCCGGTATGGCGGTCGCCGGCACGTCCGCGGCGACGGGCGGTAAGCGGAAAAGGCAGCCCAAGAACCTGCTGTCGTCGGCCTACCAGTGCTGCTGCTGTGATAGCGAGAAGCCGTACGTCTGTCCGTTCGAGAACTGCGGCAAACGGTTCCGCCAGAAGCCCCACCTCGACGCCCATCAGGCCATACACACGGGCCGCCGGTTTGCGTGCGATTGGCCCCAATGCGGGAAGTCCTTCGTGCGTAAGTACAACCTCCAGGAGCACCAGAAGCTGCACTCAAGCATCAACCCAAATATGTGCGATTATCCCAATTGTGGCAAATGTTTTAGCAGCAAATACAGCCTTTCCCGACACCAGAACGCGCAGCACAACCAGAGTCTTCAGCAGTCGACCGAAATTCGGCGACAAATGCTGCTCAGCGGCGAGCAGTAGTTCGTGGTGATGGTCGGCGCCTACCGGTGCTGGTTGTCACCCAAATGGTCGATAAGTCTGAATCTCTCGGTCATTGCTGGTGTCTGTCTATATGTGTGAGTGTTTTGGTGCTATAGTGGTCACTGAGTGAAGACTTTTTTGATGATAATTAAGGTGTAATCCACAGTATTTGCGGCGGCAGTTGACAGCGCCGGTAGTGCGAGGTTTAGACTTACGACTAATTTCTTATATAACTTAGAATTTTTTCAATTATAATTCAATGTATTTAATCATATTTTTGTCTATGAATTAAATTTTTCATTCATTATCTACCGTTCCCCTT